TGAATAGAATGATTTGTTCTAATGGTGTTTGTAAATGGGATCACAATTCCTCATCTTGTACAGCAATTAACCAGTAAGAAGAATATATGCAGTGTATTATTTGTTGAAACTGTCCTTCCGATATGATTTGAAACTGTCTCATTGCTATCTGTTTGTCAATAAAACTTTGGAAAAAAAAAAAAAGAAAAAAAAAAGAAATTCCTACTGGACAGGTGAGATTGGGGCAGTGCTGCAGAGTGGTGATAGTTGTCCCAAGGGGGTGGAAGAGGGTCTCACCCCCGCTGTGCCTGGGTTGGGACCAGTAGGTCCCACTGGCGCAGGGTAGCTAGAAGCTCTCCCACACCCTCACTGGGCCTGGGCTAGGACTGGGTCTGGGGGTTCCTGGAATGCAGCAGAAATTTCTACTCAGCGGGCGGGATAGGGGATGTGCTGCGGAGTGGTGGGGGGTGTCCCAAGGGGGTGGAAGAGGGTCTCATCCACGCTGCGCCTGGGCCGAGACCAGTAGGTCCCGACGGCGCAGGGTAGCCGGATTGGAAGTTGGTTTGGTTTTTGTTAATAGCTTTGTTGAAAGGTCAGTCAGGGGAATAAAATAAATATCAATGAGGTTTCTTTCTTTCTATTATGGATAATTTAATTGATACAATATAGGAGGAACATTTTAAGTCATGTTCAAAGGATCTAACTACTGTCTAAAGATGTACAATTTGTAATAGTATAGAAAATTATTCTCTTTATTTTTAAAATTAAGTAAATCTAAAAGTACCAACGTTTTATACTGTCCGTGATGCAAATTAGCATTGAAATGTATCCAAGTTTAGTAATGCCACTTAAAAATTATTTGAAAACAATTATATTATAATGTGTGTGTTTTTTTAATTTGAATAAATCCCTTAAAATAGTTCAGCTTTTGAAAAATTTGTCATTTAATGCCATGGAAAGGGTGATGTACCAAAGCCCTTAATACATTATTGCATTCAATATAGATATTTAGAAATGACCTATTGACAGCAAGAAATGATAATTGGGAAATAAATTTTAAGATTTACTTTCTCAGACAAATTTAATCTTTAATATTAAATGTATAGTTTTCTAAAAAGTCTGTAACATATTGTTCAGTAACCTGCGTTACTTAATGTGTGTTCATTTCCTTAGCAAGGTGTGTGGGAAACTCTGCTAGCAGCTCTGGAAGTCCTCATTCGAGTGGAGCACCACCAGCAGTGGTTTAATATTAAGCAGCTACTGAAGGCTCAAGCGGTTCATCACTTCCTACTGACTTGTCAGGTTTTGCAGGTAATTTTGTAGTTGTTTCTCTTCTTAATAACTGAATAAGACAGAAATTAAATTTTTGTGGAACTTTCAGTGAGATTTTCCCTCTTTTCTGTCTTATCCCCTTTCCTATTTTTTAAATTCAAGTCTTTATCTCTTGATTTTCATTCTTGCCGTCTTTCCCACATCAAATTAAAAAAAGGGGGGGGGACCTGAGTGTG